AAACGGCCCAAAGTAGTACCTGTACCTTTTCAGGCGTGGGCCGTTTTGTAGCGCGTTAGGTACGGGCGGAAATACGCCAAGGTGGGAACGAGACCATTGAATACAATGGGATTGATATTTTTGAGCGTTTTGTAAGGCGTTCGTCAAGTGTAGAACGCGCTACAAAATGTTCAGGTGTGAACGAGGGCTCAGTGTTCTTCTGTTTTTACTGCTAAGTCCACTCTTTTCCTGAGCCCAGCGTGTCGCTTATTCCTAAGTCCGGTGCGTCGCTTATACCCGAGTCCCGCGCGTCGCTTATTCCCGGGTCCGGCGCATCGCTTATACCCGAGTCCGGTGCGCCGCTTATTCCCGAGTCCGGCGTGTCGCTTATTCCTGAGCCCAGGAATGCTACCATATAGGCAGGTCAAGCAGTGGCGGGGGTGGAAAGAAAACGTGTGACCTCATCACCGGTCGCACATTCTAACGTAGTCACAACCTTTGAAAGAACACCGCCATCAGGGGGGTATGGCCGGTACCCATGTGAGGGGTCTGGGGGGCCTCTTACATGGGTATCAACTGTACCGGGGCGGCATGGCAGAGGTGACAGGGGAGGGGGTTGAGGAGACCAGACCAGCAGGTAAGAAGAGTTGGGAGGAGGTACAGGGAAAGGGATCTCGACGACCAGGCCAGCCCACCTGGGACCCTGCCGAGCCCACCATAGAGAGTGTCAGGTGGGCTATGCAGGATCTATTATGTGCTCTGCAGGGTCTCAGGTAAGTCCAGCATGCTACTGCAACAGACCGTTGGGGGGGGGCAGTGTGATCCGTTCCCGCGCCCCCCCACCCCCCTGTCTTGGGAGGGGGGCCCAAGATAAAATCTTGCACCAGGGCCCTTCGGTTATTAGGCCCACCACTGGGTTAACGGCTCTATGAGGTTACCCCCCATGCGTCCCATTATGTTACACTTCTTCATTTCCATTTTTGGTGGAGACAATTGGGCCCTTTTTCCTTACCTGTGGAAAAGGTCAGTTTCACCTTTTTTAAATTTTTTGTTGTTGCAGTTTTTATTTCCACTACTATTTTGGAGCTGAAGACCTTGCACCTTTTTCCATATGAACTTTAAATGGAATTCTCCATCAATAGATTTTAGGTTCTGTCTGTCAATATTGTACGTTTTCTGCTTTTCCATTTTATGTATTGCCTTATTCTGTTTGTTCCTAGTATTCTTAATATAGTATTCATCTCTCTCTCTCCCTGCTTATTTTTATCTTTTCTTTTATTTCTATTTTCTCCATATTTTCCTCAATATCTGTTCCTTTCTTTTCCTTTCATTGATGAAGTGTTTATTTAAATAATATCCTGTTCTTTTCTTCTGTTTATTTGGCTTGTGGTTTTCTGCTGCAGTAGCGATGTTTCATTCAAAATAAACTACGTCATACTTAAAGTTTAAACAGATAAAGGAAAAGTGCACTTTTATGTCAAAAATGACTTTCCTAAGTTACCCTCTGCAGCCCAAAACTAAATATAAACTGGAATCCCTGTGGTGATAGGGCTGGCACAGTGTTTCACTGTTTACCAGCTCTAACAATTGTAGTTGCTGTTGCAGTGAAGTGCATGCACCAGAGATGAAGAGGAGAACAGAAAAGCCAAGTGTCTGTGAAGGTTCTCATTCATCCATGTCATGGTATATCTGTAAAAAATAAGTCAACACCTGGTTGTGACTAACAGATTATGTGAAATGGAACAACATTCACCATATTTATTCCCAGATAATTTTTGTACAAGTCATTCTTCATTGAGAAAGCTGGTTGGATGACCAGTGAAACGTCTTCAAGAAAAATACAGCAAGTCCAGTTGCCTTGACTTATTTTTTACAGACATTATTGCCAAGCCCTAAATCCAGTACATATGCTAAACGTTAATGATAGGTACGAGTACCAGAACTGATATACACTGTGCCCATCCCAGACAAGCTGGCCAATGAAAACCTGCTTTTTATCACTACAGAAGTGTCTGGTCATATTTTGTCTTTGGCTGTTAACCTTGAGGCGCAGGCAATACTTATTTGTATACAGAAATGCACTTAGCCTTTAAAGTTAATTATTTTAGATGTTATAAGCATAGCCCAGTTCCAAATTATACATACCACAGATTTATTTTATGCCCCCCCCTGGACTTGTGGTGACAGCTAACAACATGCTGGAGCCCTGACAAAATGCTAATGGCTGAACTTCTAGTTTTAGAACATTTCATATAGAGTTTTCACATTTTTAGAATATATATGTACACGTATATATACTGTTTTTAAATGTAGAAAACATTTGTTTGAATTTAGTAGCAGGCTTCAATTCATGAACTGCTGACAACTTGAGTGTATTATAGTGTCAAGCAGGAATAGGTGATACAATGCTGTAACAAGACCTATAATCCTTAAAGGAGAAATATGGGGTGAGCGAAAAACACTTATCCCCATAATTGAAGCAGACCTGTGACACTGAATCTGTTGCAGGTCGGCTCTTTTGATCGGGAAGTCAGCGAACACATACCACCAATTGCTGACTTCCCGATCCTCTTCCTGCAGAGATTCCCCTCTCCGTTTCTCTGGAAGAATAGACCAGGGAAGGAGCGGGCAGAGCTGGCTCTGCTTCTAGAGAGGCAGAGCCAGCTGTCAATTAGCCAGTGGGGTGGATCTCGACAGTATTGCACTCTTAGCGTATAGCAGGCAATAGTTCACTATATACTGAGTTTTGGGTCACCGGAGGACATTAGCATATGTCCTCCTGTGACCCTGAACAAAACTATGGCCAAAAAGGGTTAGGCCATAGTTTTCTTTTAAAGTGCCTATTTGCTCATACTGTAGACATTAAATTATTTACATGTTCTGCAGTAAAATAGCTTTAAAATAAGCCTTCCCTTACCTCTCTAGCTGCTTGTAGCGTGAAGTAATTCATTCTCAAAGATCACACCAAAGACTCAAAAGCCTTTTAGTTTTTTTATTCAGTTTCAAACAGTGTAGAAACACATGTCTTGTGTATTTACATTGCAAGGCTGTCAGGCTGCCATGGTTCTGGTGTAATAGAAAGTAATAGGAAAAACCTAAGAACTAAGATTTCATTGCCTGTGTTGTGAAATTTGAATGTGAATTTCTCCACAATGCCTATTGCTAAAAAGGTGAATGAGGGATTGCTTTTACTGCTTGTTCAGAAGATACAAATACTCTAATGTGCATAGTACGGGCACCGGTTTTCTTTAAAGTATGTAACAGGCCAACATTGTCTATTTAGTTTTGGATACAGTGGGTAAGCAATAGAACTGCTGTCGGGTTTTTACTGCTACCCATTAGAGAGATTTGCCCTCACTTACTGTCTCAGTGACGACGGTTTCAATAGATGGGAAGTGAGGAAGAATCTTCTACAACAACACAGACACATAAAAATGCATTTTTTTTTCCCATAAGGGGAAGGCTAGAACCTTTGGTTTTATTGCTGTCTGTGTCCCTGTTGCAGATTTTCCCTCACTTTCTGTTTGTAGAAGCTGTTGCCACCAGGACAGTAAATAGGGGAAAAACTCTTAAACAGTGCCCAGATAGCAAGAAAAACCCAACAGAGGTTTTAATCGATCCCCAGTCTATTCAAAATGAAAAAAGATATGGCTGGACATACACTTTAATTCAACAGTCATGTATAGATTAATCTCTTAGATATACCTACTCATTCTTGCAAAGTTTCTTTGGAATTACAAGGTTTTATTCTGTCTTTGCAATCTGTAATCTTCTGAATACAGCCACTATTCAGACCAACTAGGATAACACTGTACAGGTTCCAACCTAGCTGTTGTCAATTCTTATATGAAGACCCCATTCATACTGAGCTACATTAATAAGCTTTTTCAGCGCTGATTTGAGCTGAGCTACATTGAGGTACAGTGCACATTTTGTTGCACTACGTAGCGCTTCTTTTGGCAGTCTATCAAAGCCTATTGGGACCAAATCGCACAAAATCCGCTGAAAAATAGGTCATGTTCAAGCGACAAGCTTGAGCTACAAGCTACAGGCGACATTAAGCTGCGAGGTGTGCACAGCTCAATTGAAATGCATTGCACAAGCTACACTGAGCTACATTGATCTTCATGTTTGAGTGATTTTTGAGTGGAAATCACGCTACAAATTGCTCAGTGTAAATGGGGTCTTATAATCTAAAATTGGTTTAATGACCAGCTATGGAAAACTGTTTATTCTGTTTTCTGGTGACTGTCTTTTTAGTTTGTAATCACCCATAGAGAAATAACCAGCCAGGCTGTGTTGAGGTGGGCTAATGAAACGAAGAAGGCCTGCAGTAAACCACTGTGAGGCTCAGCGTAACTTAAAACTGAAAAGATTTACAATAATTTATTTCATGAATCCGAAAAAATCAATGATTCTTTATTTATTAATAGTAGGGG